AGGACAAACAAGTGCTGCAGTATACACATTTCTTTCAGAACCACCCATAGCTTTGGGGGGTTCCCATAGTCAAAGTCTTGACTATTGACTGTAATCTATAAATCACAAGGCTGAAATTTTCTGAATTTGTTTGGTACATGCCTCAGCCAATGTATATTTGTGATATGATCTTAAATGCCTCTTCCTTTTTGGAATCCAGCAAAATATCAGGTATTTCTCTCTCCAAACAGTGCACAATTCCTTTTTTTTTTTTCTTTTGGCAACACCTTGAGCATCACTTTCCATGCATGGAAAATTAGTGCAATGGTGCTACAGCTGTCACACACTTTGACATATCCTTTCTTGGGAACTGGAATTCATATTGAATGATTCCAGTTTGCGGCCATTGCTTTATTTTAGATATTTTTTGGCATATTCTTCTTAGGATTTGGACCAGATCACTCTCTGAAGCTTGGGACAGTTCTTTTGGTACCCAATCTACTTCAGTTGCTTTATTCCTTTCAAGTTCTTTCAGAGCTCCTTTTACTTCACTTTTTAATATTGCAAACTCTTTCTCACAGGACTCCTGTTCAAGGGAAACTGTCATCATTTCATCTCTTCTGTATAGTTCTTCCACATATTGTTTCCACCTTCGCTTTATTTTCCTCTGGTCAGATAATATGGTCCCCTGCTGGTATTTCAACATTCTTAACTGAGGTTTGCATCTTCTGGAGGGGATCTTTTGTTTTCCCTTCGTTTGTTGTTCTCTTCTGTTTCTTCACACTGACCATTGTTACACTTGCTTTTGTTCTTTATGATATGTATTTGTTTTTTAGATTGCTTAGGTTTCCACGATTTATCCCATGTTCAGGACTGCTGTTGGGCACTGAGGCTTGTGATCCAACAGTCTTATATGGCTATGGTTGTGAATGCCTTAGTTACATCCCATTTGGACTATGTAGCTTGCATGCAGTGCAGCCACTTCTAAAATAAGTTGCAAGCTTCAACTAGTCCAAATTGCTGCAGCTACACTGTTGACTGGGACTGGTTACAGGGAGCATGTGACTTAACTGTAAGAACAGTTTCTGTGGTTACCAGTCTAATTTTTGGTACAATTCAAAGTTCCAGTTATGACCTATAAAAACCCCTATATGACTTGGGGACAAAGTACTTGAAAGACTACATTCATCCATATAAGCCTGCCCATGTTATAAATTATAATCATTATTATCATCTTGCCTCTTCCCTCTCTTCCTTTTTGTAGTACTATCCATCAGAGTCACCTTTTTCTAGTCCAATAATTAGGTTTCAGTTTCTTGCTACCAATTTGGTTCCAGGATTGTCACAATTGCCAATATTTATTTTAATGAAAGCATCTTAAAGGTAGCTCACAAGCTTCTAGTAAACAATGTTATGTGGCAAATAGAAACATTTGCAGTGACAGGCCTGAGAATTATATTCATCTTCACATTCAAACAGAAGCACCTGTCCCATGATGTTAAAAACACAAAACACAGACCGATGACAACTTGCACTGCTTTGCAAGGAAATATGTGCACTATATTTAATGCTAAGTATTTAAGAGCTACGTGCTGCTTTTTCCTAAATGCTCTAAGCATTTTACACAATCTAGTATGCAGCATTGTAAGCCTTACAACTAAAGCATAAGGTGGGCCAGTATTATTTTATCCATATTATAGACTGGAAGTGGAGAACAGGAGGCTATGAAATATCCATGAGATTTGAACAGGAGCCTTTCTGGTTGATGCTGGGCCTTAAAGAGTTTAATCAAGTATGGCCCAATACAACACCATTACCCGAATTGCTGTATCTAATCAAGTACAACGGAAATTATGAAAACTCACACAACCATGTAACATTTTTCCTCTAATGTCACACTGCACTTATCTTGCTTAATCCATAAAAAAGGTGTTAAGGGCTTTCAGGTAGCACAAAACCCTTTGCTGCTTCTCAACCTTCACAACAAGTGTCTCTGGGATTTGCATTTTGTGTTGCTACAGTCAATCAGTGGTGTATCAGAAAGTGGTACCTCTGCACACACTGCAAGCACCGTGACATAAAAGTACAGAGTCAGAAAATATAAGAATAACTAAGATGTAAAGCAAAGTTGCAAGTGAAGCCAGCAGGGAAGCAGGAAGCAACTGGGAAGAAGCAGATCAAGCTGAATGTTTGGGCCCATCCTAACTCTTTGACCCTCTACTTTCACTGCACACCTATTTCCTACTGTGGCGCTTGCTGTTAGATCTTCAACTTCATTACTGAAGTTAAGAAGAAAAGGAGACTGTGGTATCCACACTAGAGGCCTTTGGGTCCCATAAGAATTGTGTTGGATTTTTGTGAAAGATTAAAGGGGCTCAGTCATCCACAAGGGAGTGAAGGTTTTCTCATGGCAAGAAACCTTCTGAGAATTTGATAGCTATCCAGAATGACAATTTATGAGGTCGGCAACAGAAACACATTCCCGAAGTCTGAATGCACAGCACAGTGGATAAATGATCTAATTGGAAATAAGATTAAACCTAATATAGGACCTATTTCAATGATAACCCATTTACAAAACAGAACGTTTTGAACAGATAATCAAATAAACTTCCAGAAAAGTGAAACTTCAAACTGCTTCAAGTGATTAAGCTCCTAAATCTTTTTCTTATCACTACAGATGACATTCAAATTAACCTGGGAAAGATTTATAGATTGACAGGAAGCACAAAAGAAGAATGTTTGGCTTTGGTTGTAATTAAACTGAAAATGAAAGAGCTTAAGCAAAACTAATCTAGAAGACACTGGGTGAATTATATTCAGCAGAAAACTGGAGTACTGTAATTCTTTAGCAGTGCTGGTTTCGCCTCCCTGTTTGTGCAGTGAGTTAGCTGTGAACATACATATACTATTGGTATTATTCAAAGCAGAACAATCTTTTTTATCCCAGGAGAAGATCCTGTTCCTTACACTCATACTGAACAAACTGCACTTCCTCAGGTGAGCGTGTGACAAAGCAAACTGGGGGAATACTAGTTAAAAGTATCTCTACTTCAACGGACAGGGCAGGGCAGGGCAGGGCAGGGCAGGGGTCTTGTTATTATTGTGGGCTACCAGCAAGTGCTGCCAATCCACTCTTTTGACTACTAAGATAATATCTATTTATTGAAAACACTTCTGCTCTGTCTTTACCCGAGAAGTATATGAGGAGCTGAGGAACAGATCCAAGTGTGAACATGATTTAATTCTTTACTCTCCTGGTACACTTGAATCTAGATTTTTCATCTTGTTTGACCAGCATTGGCCAAGATACTGAAAGAATGGGAGAACCCTTAATGGCTTGAACAGAGTCTTCCTGTTGACGTATTTTAATCCTTGGTAAAATTCAATACAAAGCAGAGGAGACAGCAGGACATTCATAATATATCCAGCCTTCCAGCATAGTAGACACTGAAATGCCTAGAGAGCACATCTAAAAAGCCCAAGTAGCTAGTTTGGGTTGTTATAGCTGCAGTGGACCTGCTATAATTCTACTTTTTAAAGCAAGGGTAGCATCCAGTGTTAGTCTTGTGAAAAGCAGACCTATTGTTTTAGTAGATTAACACTGCATATTACCCCAAGGAACTGTTTATTTTGTGTACACAGCCAGTTACTCTTTCCACATTCCAGATATTAGGAACCTAAAAGTGTATCAGAAACTATTACAATCTACACAGAGGTAGTGTGGCCTTATGTTAAGAATAAAATTAATAACAACTGCTTCTTTGATTGTATTTCACACCATAAACAGATCTCTAAAGAGTTTACAGCTTCACTGAAGGCTTCATATATTCCTATATTACTGAATCCAATAAAGGAATAAGCAATGGTGTTTCTTAAATGTGAAATGAACTTTGTGAAACTAAGATATCAAATACTACAAATTTAATTCTAATGCCATGTATACTAAATTGCACATGTTCAATGGACCTCCCTGTTTCTCTCTCATGTTTACAATGGAATTGTTTAGGTAAAATAGAAACAAAAAGGACAAGATGTAGCAAAAAATGCCGACTTCAGCATCGTACTAGATACAGCTATATTGTTATATTATTTATGACACTTGTATGACACCCCATAGCCTGAATCCAATGATTAATTTTGTACATACTTGATTTCTTTCTAGTGTTTGGGCTTAGTTACCTGGAGAAGGTACAAGATATCAACTAGGACATACTGTATATGGACTATATGAATGGGTGTAGCGGGGAGGTGCTGGCCAAGCATGAGAGACCCTGCCCTCTTAGACACTGCATAGTCAATTCTAAGATCTATGTGCCAGATGCCTTTTCATCATTTGCTGCTAGTTGTAAAAGGTAAAAATTCATCACAGACTAAAGATTAAAAATCCATGTAATTAAGTATACATAAAATTTAAATGCCAATAGAATAAACTGCATAAATAAAACTAAAGGGAAAGAGAAAATCTAATGTCTTATTTCATAATCGGTATATGATGCCCTTGAAGAAAAGAAAAAGAATAAAACCTGAATTGCCTTACCACTTTAGCTCCATAATCTAAATTTCAGATAGGACTATACTTTGTTAGGAACTAGCTCAGAAGCTACACCAGCAGCCTTCTCACCACAAAAATCTAACAATTAAAAACCCATTGAAAAGGAATGTAATGAAAGTATCGCTACACAAGATATAATGGAGGGAAAAATGAAACAAACAGACAACACAAATGTTGCTTAGTGAATCTGTGAAATGTCTCAGAATAGAATTCAATATCTTTGTGCTGTCTCCAAGAAATGCTCTTCTTACATGATGAAAAAGATCCATATTTATTTAAATTACTCATACATCCTTCTACTTCTGTCTAGAGCAGTATATAATCATCACATTTATCTTCAAAGACACAATTCGTACTTCACTTGTGCCATTGGTTATGCAGATAAGGAAGAGACACAGGGAGAAAAAGGCAGACAAAAGCAGTAACGTTGCTAGGAAACTAATTCTAAAAAAACATAACTACTTACAGGATAAGGCTGAATAACAGTAAGAAGGATCGATTCTTTGCAGCTCCTATAAAGAAAGGATACAAGAATGACAATTCATATTTTTATGCCTGAAAGATAACAAGGCTTCTTTTTAAAAAATGAAGAAAATTGGAATCTTTTAACAGCACATTTAGTACAATCCCAAAATGTTTAGAAAATAGCTAAAGCAAAAAATGGTGTCACTGTTTTCACCATAGTAAGAGCTGCATGTTTTTCAGGAAATGTTCTGAAGTGCACCAACTTAAAGTGAGAACGATGCTGATCCAGAAAACATTGACTTCAGTCTGAATTGGCTTTCTTTCTTCTCAGTGAATATTACTGGATGACCAGATCTGACACCTTGACAGTATATCATGCAATATGACACCAGTGATTATGTGATCCTACATGTGTTGGAGACCCCCCATGTAACACATTTGGAGAATATACATGGAAACATGGTATAAAAGTAGAAGCAGAATGAGAGAGAGAAAGAGTAGCGAAGAGGTAAACACTTTTTATACTGTAAGGACTTTTCTGGCATCATTTCAGATACCCTTGTGCACATTTTTCAGACAACAAACTGAAACAGATTAAAATATGGAGTAGTCTTGGCTGGGACAAACATGAATATCAAACCCATTAATGCTAACTATCTTGAATTGTTGTAAGCCGCCCCGAGGCTTCGGCGAATGGGGCGGCATAAAAATGTTTTAATAAATAAATAAATAAATAAATAAAATCTTATTATGCAGAAGCTTTTTGCAGAGATCTGAACTGTTGAGAGGGATGCTAACCCCTGTTTTTGAAGACAACACTTAGCCTGCACACCTATGTACACATGCCCTGAAGGAAGGTGAACACAGTGCAACTTACCTATGCGTAAACTTGTGTAGAGTTGCATGTCAAATGCACAGAGTGTGCATTTATGTATATGCATGCCAGTAAGGATTCTCTGATGCCTCTATCCAGATATTTAAAGATGTATGTGTTTACATATTTGCTATGGGAAACATATACCATGGGGCAGGTCACACTAGGTGTTTTTATTGGTATTGCACAACTTGATGCACTGGCACAGCACATGACACTCACTGCAAGTTGTGCTCCTTATGCTATCTGTGCCAATACTTCCCAGATTTCTTCAGACTGGTTATATCACAACGTTTAATAGTGTGGATCTCTCCATACATATGTGCCTACATAGCTCAGCATGCACCCAACTTGCTGTACTGTTCTGAGGCCAGGGGGAGCCACTACGGGGGAGAGAGGAAAGCCTACCAGGGCTTCAGCAGAGTAGAAACAACTTTTTCCCCTGGCCATGTCCTGTGGCCTGCTGTCTCTGATTTGCAAATGCCATGGGATGTTCCTCTCTCCCCACTGGAAAAATAAAGCTTGTGGTATCTTTTCAAGCCTCCCCAGTTGACTTTGTCCTCTTGCTCAAGATCCAGCTAGCTGAAGCACACGTCTATTCATTACCTGATTACACTCTCAATTAAATCATAACAAATTGATCACAATGAAATTATGGGGGATTCAGTGGAGCTAACTTGTGGGACAGGCTAGACAGGAGAGGGTTGTTCTTCCTTGCTTTTGAATGGAAGAAATCAAAGTGCTGCTGGTCATACCAGCTTCTCTTCGTTGCGGTTGTGAGGACAGGAACAAGCAGCAGCACCCTTTCTTCTTCTCCTCCATTATTTTTTGTGAGAGGACAGGAGGAGCTGTAAAGCATTTAATTTCCTTTTTGAATAGTTCCACTCTTTTGCACCTTCGCATAAACAGCCATGTCCTGCACACATGTCCTTTCTGGCTCCTGTACTTGTGTAACACAAGCTCATGCTGAGTTACTATATTAGATAGTGTCCCAACAATAACAAGTACATTTTGCATAAATACCATCACTGTGTTCAGTTTTAAGCATAAGAGGATCAAGTGTTGATTGCACCTTGGTCTTCTTCCTTTAGTAGAAAATATCATTTTTTCCTTAAAGATAATCATGTTTACATTTTCCCATAAAGATATTGATATTTACATTTTAGGAAACAAAAAACTCCCAAAATGGAA